GGTAATTTTTTACTCCTTTTATCTTTTCTGTTTCTTTTGTAAATTATTTTAAATGATCCTGTTTTATGTTTAATGTATTTGTTTTTATTTGTTGTTAGTATCACACTTTTAGGGTGTTAATAATATGCACTCTACCTGTAATACCTGTATGTGATTATTTCCCAATTTTTAAGGCCGGCGTAATATGGCCCCTTATACCTGATATTTTGTTGTCAAAAATTTTTATCGGATTTTACACGGTAAGCTAAGACTGAACGAAATATATGAATAAGAGATGACTTTGTTAAACCCGAAAATAAAAATAGTCAGATTATTAAAGTATAAAAGAATTCTTATAATGAAAACTTGTTTGCTTGAAACTGTGATAAAAAAGATTTTTTTTTATTCTTATTTTTTCTAAAAACAGTTTTCTTATCTACAGTACATTAATATTTATTGCATGTAGAAGAAATATGATTTCAAGAGACAAATATAACCAAAACCCCAGAAAGTGATTTAGTTAAAGGGGCAGCTCAGAGAAATAGTATGTACATTGCTGTTATAATGGTTCAATAATGTTTTACAGTTCTTATATTTCTTTTCTTTAGCAACGTTGACAAAAACGGCACCAAAATCCCCCTCCTCAGCGGGGATCATAAAGTATTTCTGACGTCATAAATACTACGAACTACAAGGGCCCTTTCGCACATTTATAGTGAATCAAACTCTTAAATATAAGTTAAATGTCTAAAACTCATCAGTTTGACATTAACCTATTAATGATCGATCAATAAGAATCAATAAATTGTCTCTGCAGACGTTGGACGGCGGTCTGAACGTCATCCAGCTGGAGACGGCCGTGGGCGCTGCCATCAAGAGCTTCAACAACGCGTTGGGCGTGAACGTCCCCCGCAGCCGCTTCCTGCCGGTGAAGACGTCGTCCGACCTCCTGCTGGTGATGTCCAACCTGTACAGCCTGGACGCCGGCTCGCTCACCATGAGCAAGAGGAGGGAGTTCCCCACGACGCCGCACGTGAAGCTCGGCAGCTCCTTCACCAAGGTCGGTTCATACGGAAGAGAAACGCTGCCACGATAACTCTCATCATGTTATTTTATATGTGTGTGTAATTATCTTATCAGAAGTTTACGATTAATTTTATAACAGAATAATTTTCTAAATGTTTCTTTAGATAAATATCTTGATGTATCAATAATTTGTTCATTCTTTCATAATAATGGAATAATAAAACAAAAAGTAGTTTTATCCTGTTATCACAAGAAAACATTTTATTTTCTCAGAATCAGAAATTACTTTAATAATCTCAGGGGGAAATTACTTTGATAACAAGTAAATATTTCCATCATTTAACTCGAGATAACGGCACTTAAAGTACGGAAGCCTCGACTGGAACAATTTATCAATCCTTCCTGATACTAGAATCCTACGGAAGAGGATTAGGGCCACATGTGAACATTTTATTTGAGCTCTGAGTTTAAAGTAAAAGAAAATAAAAAGTTAAAATTCAAACTCAAATAAAATGTTCACATTTGGCCCTAATCCTGCTTTCCTAGATTCTCACACAATTTTGTTTAACAAAATGATTCAAGACAAAAATCTACAAAAAATATATTTTCTTTATCGAATATAATTATTAAATTATTATACATTTATTATTTCTGAGATATAAACTGAACATTATCGTTGGTTCTGCAGGTTCAGGACTTTCTGAGGCGGTTCGAGAGCATCCCGGACATGTTGGAGCTCGACCACCTCACCGTGTCCGGAGACGTCACCTTCGGGAAGAACGTCTCTCTGAAGGTAAACAACTTCCTGATCGACGATAATCAATTAATTAATAAAAACATTTCATACGGACAAGTTTAAAGGTCACCATATTTCTAATTATTTATCTTTTATTGTCTTTAATAAAAAGCGTTAAGAGAACGATTTGAAGTGAGCGATGAGTGGAAGTGATGGAGACACATCGGATCTTAAATCCTAAATTAAACCAGTTTGCCGTCGTTATGGATGTGATTTGGATTTAAAGATAATAATTGGAATTATTAAGTATTTTGGCTCCTCACTGAGATCGCCTCCGTAAACTGTTTGTCGGATAAACTGCGACAACAGATACGAACTGATGATCTCACACCGACTTTAATTATACGATGAAGTTTCTGTAAAAATAAATAAACTCTTTGATTTTAACTGTTACTGACGTCAGTTCAATAAATCAGTAAAAATCTGATCGATTGATAAAATTAAAACTGATATTTTCTGATTATAATTAACTCTTATTTTATTTTTCTAACGTTTCACCAGGGAACCGTCATCATCATCGCGAATCACGGCGACCGGATCGATATTCCCGCCGGAGCGATGCTGGAGAACAAGATCGTCTCAGGAAACCTGCGTATCCTCGACCACTGAGGCCTTCTGGGAAAAAACAACCACAAACAAACAAACAAACAAACAAAAAAGCCATTTTCACCTCGAAGAGACTCAAAGAGAGAAAAGATGTTTCTTCTCTTCAACCGACGAACCGTCACTTTGTTTTTATTCTGTCGTTTCAACGTGAAGTCGGTCTGAAAGGGTCGAAGGGTCAAAGGTCAACCCTCCTCCTTCCAGACTCATCGTGAGGAAACCTGCTGTCAATTAAACAAGTGCATCATGGGTAAACTGAGTGCTGTGGTTTCTTTAAGTTTATTTTAACCTAATTAACCTTCAAAGGCGTCAAAATAAAGTTTTTTTTTTATCTAAACTTTATCCAAAATATTCAAACAACCTTAAAAAGGTAAAAAACAACAACAACAACAACAACAACGACGAGTCGCTCCGTCATCCTGTTTTATTCACATCAGGTTTGAAGGATTCAAGACATTTTGGATTTTCAGACATGCAGCCGGTCGACACACACACACACACACACACACACACTCTCTCACAC